CCCCTTATCATCTTTGTTGCTCTTCTCTGCACTCTTTCTAGGGCCTCAGCATCTTTTTTGTTTTGGTGACCAGAACTGGATGCAAATGTGGCCTCACCAGTTTGGTGTAGAGTGGTACTATCATTTCCCTTGATCTTGATACTATCCCTCTGTTGATGCAGCCCAGGACTGCATTGGCTTTTTGGCAGCTGCAGCACACTGGTGACTCATACTTAAGTGGTGGTCCATCAGGACACCTAGATCCCTCTCACAGGCACTACTGTTGAGCCAGGTAGTGCCTAACCTGTACCTGTGCATCTGGTTTTTCCTGCCTATGTGCTGGACCTTACTTTTCTCTCCACTGAACTGCATCTTGTTGGATAGGGCCTAATGCTCAAGTCTGTCAAGATCCTTCTGAATCTTGAATCTATCTTCTGAAGTGTTAGCAATTCCCCCCAGCTTTGTGTCATCCACATATTTGATGAGCACCCTTTCAATTCCCTCATTTAGATCATTTATGAAAATGTTGAAGAGCGCTGGGTGCAAGACAGAACCTTGACATACCCTACTGCATAGTTCAATCAAAGAAAAGGATCTGGACATGGAACAGCTGCGACAAGAAGTTCTAGACAATGCCCCTTTATGGGAAGAAAAGAATTTGGACATGGAACAGCTGTGGCAAGAAATCCTGGACGATGCCTCTTTATGGAATTTACAAAATATCTGGTGAAGGCTTTGAAGACTCCTCCTGAATGCCAAAGACTGATGAAAGCTCAAATCCTGTGATGCCACTGGAATGATTTAAAGGTTAAGATTGTGAAGAGCAAAAAGAAGGAATATAAAGTTGGACTGTTTGATCAGAGATAAATTATTTGTTTGATATTTCTGGTAACTCCTAATGGACTTTTTGCTGAACCAGGACTGAAAATGATGATTTCTGGTGCATTGTGTATAGATAATAGTTAGACTATGGGGAGAAGAGATTTTTATTTGTAACTTTAAAAAAGGGTGAAAAGTAATTATATTAGCTTATGCTCAGTGTGATGAAGATTGGAAGCCCCCTTTTTATTACTGTCTTCACTGCCTTTTTCTTTTACTTTTCTTTTCCTTTTGTTCTACTTTTTTCTGTACTTTCTGTACTTTTTTCTTTTTTCTTTGTCTAGTTTAATTTGTGTTAGTTTTTACTATGTTTATTAAAAACTTCAATCAAATTATATTGAACCCCCCCCTAAGTCTTCCTGTTCTCTTTTTGTATGGGTTATTCATTGAATGGGTGGCTTTGTACTTCCTCAGCTATACAAGAATTGAGAGGGCAAACATTGTTTTCTTCTTGGTTCAGGGAGCTTACATTGCTTGAAAACAATCCTCGGATTACAGCATTGTAACAGTGTGGCAGGAATGGCTGCAGAGCCATTCTTGATGATAGAAAATAATGTTGTTTCTTATCTGTATATCTGTACCTAAAACCCCTCCATTTCTACTAGTGACAGAGAGATGTTTGATGCTACGATTACTAGAAAGCTGACTGCAGGATTAAAACAAAGAGAAGCTCTTGGGGTGGCTGAACAGGTCTGAGGAAGAGGTGAAACAATCTAGATTCTGCTATGGAGAAATACCTTCTTCCAATGCTAATCACAGGGAGTGATTACTGTTATATAAGACAGCTTGTTTTAGAAGAAGCATTCCAGGGAGCCAAAAGAAGCATTATTTTCCAAAGACAAATTAGTATTTCTTGCCTTGTTGTCTAGTCCTGTTTTTCCCAGCCGTGGCAGCTTCCAGATAAGTGGACTTCAACTTACAAAATTTCAAAGCCAGCATGACCGTTGCTGAGAATTCCAGGACTTAAAAGTCCACACATCAGGAAATTGCCAGGGTTGGGAAACACTGGGCAGTTTGCAAACTTCAATGGCTGGATTCATACAGTATGCAAAACCAGGATAGCAGCAGCACCACATATCAAACAACACCCACTGAATCCGGTCCAAAAATCTAGAGAGGATCTGTTGAGAAGCCTGCCTTCTCGAGAGCTGCATGGGACATGGACTATGTGATAATCTTTCTCAGTGACAGCCCGTATACTCTGGGGCACTCTTCCCCCAGAGTACATTCAGCCCCATCCTTTCTTATATTTCACAAACAGGTAAAAATATATTATTTCAACATGATTTGGGCCTCAGTTGACTCAGTGTCCTTCATAAGAATGTTTATGTTTTTATTTGTTAAGGTTTTGTTGTTCACCGCCCAGAGTCCACCAGAATTGGGGCAGTCTTCAAATATTGTTAGATAAATAAATAAACAAATAACCAGAATGAAATAAACCGCATTATGGCTTTGCAGAATGTGTGAACAGAGTGTGTAAAGTCCAGCCTCCAGCTCAGTGCAGGAATCCAAATTCTGGCAGAATAGTTAAAGCATCCCAACAGAGGGTTATATAATTAATGGCACAATTTATAGGTGATCTTTTTCCTGGGGTGGGGAGATAAATGAATGGAACTATTTTCCCTGCATGAATTGCTGTGTCAAATTGCTATTGAAGGCTCAAATGCAAGACAGTAAAAAACCTGCTAATTATATTTCACAGGCTGCCTTATGCAAAATTATTGCAGGCAGGCCATTTCATTCATAGATTTCCTTCCTATCTATCTATCTATCTATCTATCTATCTATCTATCTATCTATCTATCTATCTATCTATCATCTCCATTACCCCCATCATTTTAACCTTCCAGGATACATCTGAGCAATGCATTGTGCAAGACTCAGCCACATGCTCTGTGGTCTTGTTAACAGCTTAAAAAAACAAGCCTCGCTTGGACTACAAGGCATTCCCAGGGCACAGCTTACCTTAGGCATCCTGTAGCATTGTAGAAGATATCAGGGTCAGGGATGATGCTTGATTTTGGATAATCTCTATCTGGCCATCCCGTGTAAGGAATGAGGACAATTTCTGTCAATGGCTGCAGGGCTTCCCGGATCAATACATTTTTCAGCTGGTCGTTGGAGGAGAGATTCCACAACAATCCTACAAAGGCCGTTAAAGGAACAGGATGATAAAGTTGCTCTTCATTCATGGGGCTTTGTCAAATAATGAACGGATTAATGGAATCCACTGAATTCTGGATCACAGACCTACATCCAAATGCTTCATATTATCTTAATCATGCAATGCAAGAACATGTTAGGTATATAAACAATTCCTCTGGCAGAAGTTTTGCCAATACCTGGATGATAAATATGAAGTTAATATATGTAGTTTTCTCCATCAAGGCTTCAACAGCTGAATTTCTACTTTTCATGCTATTATCTATGGCAGATGCAGGAAGCCTATTTTGCCCAGATGAACTTCATAGTACACTATACATAGGTCTGTTAGACTGGGAGCTCCCTGGCTCACGTTACAGCAGAGGTGGGAAATCTTTTAGTTGTTCCTGAACTAGAACTCCCATCATCCCTCACCATTGGCCATGCTGGTTGGAGCTACTAAAAGTTGTAGTTCACTAACCTCTGGAATGCTGAAGTTCAGATTTTATTTATTTCACTGAGACCTAAATAGAATTAGTGTATTACTAAAGGCGTTGTCAGTGCCCTGCTTAAATTCATAGTTAAGTTACAGGGCCTATATTTCAGAAGAAGTTCAAATAATAGTGTTTTTTTTCCTTAATAAAACTTATGGCTAGTTTTAGTTGTACAGGAGCCTAGCCAGATAGGAGCTGCAAGCCAATTCCTAAAATTTTACCGAACTGTAGCCCAAGTTAGAAGCAGAAAGCAGGATGGGCCCATTACTGTCAAATCTAGGGCTGTATGCAGATAGGAGGAGGCTCAGATTTTTGCAGCTGTGGTCACCAAGGTAAGTCCTCATCTCATGGATGTCCTTTTATCTTATAGGAGTGAATTGTGGCTATTAATTTGCAGCAGGGAAAATAAAATGCAGTATAGGGGAAAAAATGGCTGCAACAGAGGACTTTTCTCTACTTTTGTCAGCTGGTCTCTATCTTCTCAAGAGGAACTCTCTACAAGATATATGGGCTTTTGCGAACAAAGCATGTAGATGCGAGGCACTCCCTTCTGGAGTCCTTCCTGAAATAATCATTCTCAGGGAGTGTTTGCAATAATTGATCTACCAGTTATAGTGTTGAACTTTTGCTAGCACTGTGATAAAAGCAATCTTAGTTTTGGGGTTATGAGGAATTTATTAACAAAGTGATCACTTTTCTCCTTCATGTTTAAAAGGTACTAAAAAATAGCCTGGTGATTTAATGATTTCAATTAAAAGAGTGCCTAGGGAAGGGAAGTCTGGCTCTAATCTGGAATTTGATGAATCTGTAAAAACTGACTGTAAGAGTTTAAAAGCATCATTTTCCCTTTTTTTTTTTTTTCCAAAAAAGAGGTTTTGTAAGTATCATCTGACAATGTATCACATGCACACTAGAACTGTTCTACAAAGAGAACAATTGTTCAGCTTACTGCTCTGAATTCCAAAACACATCTTTTAAATCTTAGTTCAGTGCAGATGGCATTTAAATCTCTGCATGATACTTTTCATTCTTGGCTCATGAATAATCATCCTTCTGTAACCTGCCAATATAGTAGTTGTATTGTCATGTTAGTAGGGGGGGCGGGGACAAGTAATATGTAGGGTTTGGGCATTATTGGCACACCTATTTTCCTATGCTTAAAAAAAAAAAAAAAAGGACAAGCATTTCTGAAATAAAGAAACAGAGGAAAGAGCCAATCTGGGAATCTTTTAGAAAAAAATGAAACAGAAAATTGTAATATGCACTGTGCTGAATGGGCCCTTGGAATAGCTGCACTGGACATGGATGTCCATGATGAAAGTCTCAGCCTGTGGTCGCTTTTCATATTTATGTTCTCTTCATGACAGGCCTGCCTGCCTGCCTGTTGTATAATCCTTCCTGCAGAAGGAATGTTCTTCCATTTCTTAGATGTATGTGCTATGAGACAAGATCAATTGGAGGTTAGACGCTCCCCAAATGCTTTTTTGGCTCATCTTCAAAAGCTAGTTTTGGCTGCCTGAGCTTTGCTGCTCTCTGTCACCATCACGTTTACTGGATAATATAAAGAGAGTTTCAGTTTCTATCACTCTGGTACTTATTCTTCCAGGGTTGTTTTTCAGGAGCCTTTCAACCTCTGTGATAAGCATGAGCTGTTAATGGAACAGCAGATGCAACCAGTTCTTACAAAGCTATATGAACTTAGGAAGGATGCTTAAATAATCCCATTGGTTAAACATCCAAAGAAAAGCAAGTTTTCTTTACTCTGGATTTGAAAATATTTACTCTACACTAAATACAGTGAGATCAATGAGGTTGGTTTGTGCAACCATACCCTATTCACACTTCCGGAATCTGTGTCATCATATGCTGAAATCTATATTTCTTAAAGTTTGCAGTGTGATGTGTAATTCATAAACATACAATATATGCAACAATGCAAATTAGGAAAAATACACATAAAATGCACAAAAATGAACACAGATCTCCATCTAAGCTGGAGGGACCATCAAAATAGAACCTTCCTTAGATGTCTAGCTGACCATAATGGGAAACGGAATGGTGGGCTAGAGGACCCTGTAATAATTGTACAAGACTTTCCGCATGTTCTCGTGTAACAGTATAGAGGTACAATACCCTGCAATAAACAATTTAGAAATATTGATAAGAGAAACAAACCACAGCTCAGAGAAGGAAATTTAACCAGAAAAACTGGGGACTATTTAGATAACTGGGAATAAGTAACCATTGTATTTTTAACATGTTTATTGTGCAAGATTTTAACTCTACTTCTAAACCTCTAAAATGCAGTTTCTGAAAGAGACTTCTTTCCACCAGCTAAGGAAAGGTTTTAACATGACTGAAAAGCATCTCTAACAGCTAGAATGCAAAATAGAAATTTCTTACAGGATTTATATCATGGGCTGCCAGTCTCCAAACATTCCTGAGCAGTGACATAGGAGCTGCATATTCTGTAGAGGTGTTAATCAAACGGTAATGCTATCAAACTTTCTACAATTTTCCGCGCATCCCACCACCAACACAGGCTGCCTAATTTGCAGTCATGATTAATCTGAAGAGAGGTTGTCATCATTCCAGAGAGTGGGAGAGTCTGGCTTGAACTTTTAAGCCCAGCATTTTCCTCTGCTTGTTATCACTGCGTTGCAAAGCCATTACGTTACACAGTCATGGGACACTTTTTCATTGTCCGTGGTTGATGGCTAAGGCATGTAAGGGCATTGTTCATCTAGCCTTTGCTGGGTTTAGCTTCAAAAGAAGAAATGCAGTTTCAGGGAAGACTGTTGTTAGTCTGCCAATAATAAAACCTTTCTGTTTTCATTGTTGTTCTTCTTGTGGGCTATTTTTTCCCCAGAAAACACATACCAATGGTGGATGGGGCTGAAATTAGCAGTGTGTGGAGCCAGAACTAAAAGTGATAGTCTAATGTTTTCTCTGACATCTTCTTCCCTCTCCCAATCAATTCCACCCAGTTCAGTACACTGTCAGAAGGAAGCACATTGTTATTTCCAGATATATGAACTCTCAGAATTATTAGCTAGGATGGTCAAAGACCATGGGAACTGCAGCCCCTGCACATCTGGAAAGAGCTAGAAGGCAGGCTGGAATAGGTTTGATAGGAGGAACTGGTATAGCTCTTCTATTTTCCATTATTGTAGCAGCCTGCATATGATCTTGGGTCTCCTTGAGCTAGAAAAATTAATACTAAGAAGGACATTAGCACTGGAATTGTAAATGCTATTCACTTCATGGACTGATCCTAAGAAATCTATTTTGGAACTGCACCCCACTGATTTCAGAAAGAGCTTACTTCCAAATAACTGTGGTTAGGTTTGAAGAACAAAATACACAAGAGATATGTGCATTAGCTGGATTCAGATGATAGCATTTTTCTGAAAAGATAAAATCCATTGTATGGTTATGTAGTTATATAGGTTTCTTTAAAAAAAATAGCAAGCCACTAGAAAAACAAACAAGGTGTATGGTCCATGATATAAAAGGATGTTCTCCTAAGCCTTATAAGATACTGGGGAACTGCCCATACTAAACCTAGCACAACACTGGGAACTTGTGTGTGTATAATAAACCAGGATATCAGTTTGAGAATCTGTATGCACTATGAAACCACTCCTCATTAGTTACCTGTAATTTGCTTTTTAGTCTCAACATCTCTAGTTTGTCGCAGCAATCTCAACAGGGTTGAAATGCCTTTCTGCTCAGACACTTCCAATTTATTGTCATTGTCTTCATATACCAGGTTCCTTAAAGCCCCGCATGCTGCCCTCTGCACTTCCTCATTCTGCACATTCAGAAGCTCTAATAGTCTGGGAATACCATCTAGGATATACACCTGTGAAGAGAAGACAATTTATTAGCATATGAATAAGTTTTTGTCTCAAAGGATTATTTGGTTGTTGGATGAAGTCACTGTCTCCAGTTAAGGATACTACACTGGTGACTTTCCAGCTCAAATGTTTTCTTAAAAAACAGAATTGCCACCTGAGTCACAAAATTAATTTAAAAAAATACCATCTGAAATATTCTAACAAAATGTTGCCTACTACAATTCCCCTAATCATTGGCCATGCTTGCTGGAGATTCTGGGCACCATAATCCCAAATGCTTACAGGTAGTCCTTGCTTAATGACCCAAAGTGGTTGCTAAGTGGGAAAACATGTGAGCATGACTGTGCTTTCTGGCTGGAAAAAGATAAGACTACTGTGTTCAGTTTCACACCTTTGACTTTTGTTTGCCTTCTAACCACTCTCTTGCCTGTTGGAATGCTTGAGTGCCTGCTTACTGTCTTGTACATATCGAAAACAATGTGATTGTGCCAGCAGCCTACACAAACTGCTTAGAGTACTCTCTTGAAATTCCTTCCTTTCCAACCTCTCTGCTCTGCAGGGCAGGAGAAAAGGTCAGACAAAAGAGAGACTGCTTACAGAAATTGCTTGCTTTTTTTCTCTCCCCACCGTGCAGAGCAGAAAGATTGGAGAGGAAGGGATTTCAAGAGAGTAAGCTCCTTGCTCTTCTACACATCAAAAGCAATGCAATTGCACCAGCAGCAGGAAAAGGTCAGGCAAAGGAGAGATTGCCTATAGAAATTGCTTGCTTTTTTTCTGCCCCCACCTTGCAGAGCAGAGAGATTGGAGAGGAAGGGATTTCAAGAGAGTAAGCTGCTTGCTCTTCTACACATCAAAAGCAATGCAATTGCACTGGCAGCAGAAAAAGGTTAGGCAAAGGAGAGATTGCCTATAGAAATTGCTTGCTTTTTTTCTCCCCTCCATCTTGCAGAGCAGAGAGATTGGAGAGGAAGAGAGTTCAAGAGAGTACTATAAGCTGTGTGCATAGTGTGCCTGCGGCCCCCAGCCCACTGGTGTGATCGCATTGTTTTTGATGTATAGAATAAACATCTTACTCTCTTGCAATCCCTTCCTCTCCAATCTCTCTACTCTGCAAGAGGGGGGAAAAAAGAAAAAAAACACAGATCAGGCACAGAACAACATGTACTGACTGTAATGGCGATCACATGACTGAGGGATGCTATGAAGGTTGTAAATGGACATAAATTGGCCATAAAGTTATTTTTCAGCACTGTTGTAATTTTGAATGGTTGCTGAACAGGTGGTTGGTAAGTGAAGACTACCTATACTGGGTAGCAGTTTGCCTGTCCCTCAGATTCCTGTGGATATTGTCCTCCTTCTTCCATTATTTTCACCTGTATGTCTCTTGCTCTTGTAGGTTTCCATTAATATTGCATCTTATAATTCCATGCATACTCTAGTTTGTGCAAGATCATAAGGTAACCCCATTGGCTGCCATTACAAATTATTAATTTATGTTCAAAGAGAAGAATATGTCTAATGATTTTGGATCAGAGTTAGGTAGTTTAACAAACTAAAGGTGACATTAGTTCATAAAATAGTTCAGTTACAGACCATTCCACAAAAATTGTGCCTTACTCTTCATGTATGAAATCTATGTGCATTTTACAGCATCAATAAGTGGAATGCTATTTTAAGAAAACACCAGGGTGGTGATACTTTCCCATTATTAAATTAATTTTAAAAGAATATAGCATGTCATTAGTTTATGAAATTCACTGCCACAAAACAAGCTGATGATTACCAACTGTCAAACTCCTCTTGGCTGACTTCCTAGAAACAAAACAAGGTGCAACCAGTAAGTGAATTCTACTGTATACTGAAGTCCCTTCAAACAGTTGCTTACTTTCTAATATTGAGCTGCAGACCAACATCTTATATGCCTATGAGTTTAAACTCATCCTCTTTTCCTTCTAGTGTTTCCATGGCTTCATGGATAGCCTACATGATGGTTCTCATTATTCTGTACTAGATGGCAGTTGGTTATTTAGATGTTCATCATTTCTACCCTGGAAAACTCTAGCTCCAACACCAACATAGATGGCTTGAAACAGCATTAGATCAGTTTTCTCCAATTTAGCTTACTCCAGCGTATGGGACCAATTCCCACCAATTTTAGCCACCAATGATGATTGAAATCTACATAGAACCAACAGGCTGAATTCAGCAAACAGGCAAGTTTCAAATAAATGGGTACACAATTTTCATTTCATTTTATTTTATGTAAAGTAATGTAATTATCAGTCACCCTTCTATTTATGAGGAGCCTCACAGGAAAACATACTTTACAAAGTAAAATAAAAACCACAAAATAAAAGCAGTAGAGCCTTAACGTACACCCAGGAATAATATTAACAAGTATGAATGTAACAACTGTCCAGTCAGCTTTCTTTGCTGGACCAAGACTGCTGAAGCCATCATCTGGTGCTTTTTCAGTTCTGAGTGAGATACTATGAGAGTCCAATTTATATGGAGGGCAGAAGGTATGGAAGCCTTTACTAAAAAAAAAAAGTTGGCTGAACCAGACCTTTGTTAAATTACATTTGAATAAATGTTCTGCATAGATAACTTTCTTATTGTGACAAAGTGTTCAGTGCAAAGGTGATCAAGAGGAAGGAAGGAGAATCTGCTTTTATAGTTTGTTTGGGGAATGCTCAACACTTACTATGATCAGTATTTTCTCCTTTATCAGTTGTTGAGATATGAAGGTGGTTCATGCTTTATTAGGACAGGGTATTGCTGTCTAATTTTAAGCCCTTGTATAACAGTTTCATAACACTCTTTTAAAGCTATTGGGGTACCAAATATAGAATTGAAACAAGAGGTACAGAATTGTGTGGGCTGAAAGGGTCTCAAAGATTCTCCAGCCCAAAACCCTGTGGGAAGGTGAGGACATTTTTTTATTTATAACAGAGCAGCAGAGAGAACTACATCTCCTCTCCTATTATGGCATGAAACTGGTAACCGAAAGAGTTTTAGCAAGTTTTAGCCTGTCAAGAGCCTACAGAGCCCAGTCCGACGTCCTTCAGATCTGTTGGAATTACAACTCTAGTATACCCAGCTGAGTTGGCTAAATAGCTGGATCCTGGGAGTTATATTTTCTAAAACATTAGAGAATACCAGACTAGGAAAGGTGACTTTGCTTCAACAGATATCTACCATTTAGGATAAATATACAGATTGTTCTCAAAGGAAGCACATGGCAAAATAGATGGCCGTGGGCTCTTTTTTCTTGTTATTGTTCATTGTCACTAGAGTAAGATGCTGATGTTTGATTTTGTGATAAGACCAAGCTTGGTCAGACTTGTTTTATTTTTTATACCCCATTACCCCCCCCCCCCGAGTTTAAGACACTTTACGTGAGACTTTTCCTCATGCTATTCTATTGCCACCACAACCATGGGTAGTAGATTAAAATGAGAGAGGCTGCCTAAATCACCTAGTGATCTCTGTGGTTGACGGGTACTTGGATCTGAAATTCCTCAATCCAAACCCATTACTTCAGCCACTGCACTATACTGACTCCTTCTTAAAAGTATGTCTTCTTATTTCAAAAGTATTAAGGCGGCCTTGTTTTTATCAACTAATTAAGCCACCCTGAAGTTGATCTAAAAAGACATGTAAAATACATATATGTAGTAGAGCTTACAGGTAAAGAGATAAAGTCTCCTTCAAGTCTGACTCCTATAAGTTCTTGGCAACAAGTAGTTTGCCAATGCCTTCTTCCAGAAAATATACGTCTGTCTGTCCCTCCAATCTAGCCTATATTTTGATATTTTCTGGTAAGTGTTCTGCCCCAATTATCAACCAGATCCAACACCATTTAGCTTTCTGAGAATAGCCAAGGTTGGCTAGGTGTCAATACAGACTTATTTTCTCTCTGTTTGGGTTGAGTGCTCCTGAAATTAATTTTCTTGTTTATTTCATGTCTGCTCCTATCTTCCCTTCTACATGCAATCCTTTGAGAAAAACTGGGCTCATCTGGAGGTAAATGAGTTAATATCCACAGAGGATTTCATCCAGAATGTTTTCCCATTCCTCTCAGCCCATTATTCTCCCTTACCATTTCCACATACAAGACTTTACATGCAGGAAATATTGAAAGTCTGAAGAAAGAAAATCATCACTCACTTTCCTTCTGGCTTCTGTTCTCTGAAAGCTCTCATGCTGTATAAAAACAACTGCTGCAAGAACTCGAGGGGACAAAGCATTTTCAGTTTGCAGTATGTTTACTGCCCGCTCCAGGGTCATCTCTCCTTCTGAATTCCTGAGTGATTAAACACGAAAACACATCAAATCAATGAGGGAAGGCAAAGGTAAATTCTTTTTCAAGTGGAGCTTGACATGATCAAGTTCAGGTAGCTCTCTTGGTAGCAACATAAAAGTGGTTTGGCATTGCCTTCTTTTGGGATATTTTTCCAGTTGTCCAATGTAGCCTACAGCTCTGGAGCCTCCCATCCAAGCAGACCTGAACCTGTCTAACTTCTGACCCAGACAGCACCTACAGTGGTTAAAAACAGGTCTTGTGGCATCTCAAAAGGTCACCAGTTTTACTGTGAGAAACTTTAGTGGAATAACGGCTGCTTTGTCATTAAATATCATCTTCAGTGGGCAAAGGTGACAAAAGATGCTACACTAGATCTATGATATTAAAGCTCAAATTAACAGAGGTGAAGATTCACTGCCCATTCATAAGAGTTCTTAGAATATAACTTTCCTTTACACAGAGTGTGCAATTCAAGGACCACATTGGGCTTTGCAAAACATATCAAGAACCACAATCCCCAAATAGGCAAGACTAGGACTCAAAGTGTGGGTGATCTGGGTGTGAGTGGGATTTTTAAGGGCTCAATGTGTGCTTGAGTTCCAATATCACACTGAACCACAAACTATCCAAAACTCTAGACAATATGTAATAAAGCAGCACCATTTTACACTTCAGACTGCATTTGCTCTATCCCTTCATAGACCACTCTAGTAGATGCACTGAACCTAACTCCCATAACCTACCAACCACTTGGAAGGTACTATGCTGAAGGTACTAGGCTGATGTCTAACTAGCAAGAGAGAAAAATTCCTATCGGTGACTTAAAGAAGAATAAATCCCCACATACTGTAGTTATTATCTTGGTGGAACATTTTATGAGAATAGACCTTACTATTAGGCAAAGCATATTAGCTGTCTCAGACAGCAGGTACTGGTTTAGGATCAGTGGTATTCCCTCTCTCATGGTTCCTCTTGAACCTGTTCCCAGCTGTCCTCTTTTGAAAGACAGAGCTGCAATTGCCATAGGGCTAGTTTTGTACCCCTAAGCTACCTTGATGTCCCATTGCAGATCCATTGCATAAAGCAATGTGAACCTGTTTGTGACTATGGAAAACTATGAAGATAATCCATGCACTGAACTGATATATAAATCAAGCATGGCTCTTCGTTTTCCCAGCAGCTCTCAATTAACACTGATAACTCCAGAGTTTAGTCTGAGGCCTACAACTGCCAGTATCATACAAATATACAACAAAGTTTTTCTTTATTTTGCTGAGACATTTTTGATGGTCTTTCATATATTGTTTATCAGGTCAGTTTTTCCATGTGCTTCCTATTAGTGAATAGCAACCTTAAAAAATAATTAGACATGATGGCAATATTTGTCCTCAAAGTCATCAGCCTTTTCTACAATTTGTTTCTACGAACGGATACAACAAAGCTATAGAAACAAAATATTTAACAGAACAAGCCCTAACAAGCCTATTAGGAATCAATCCTTCTGAGAGATCTACTTAGCAAAATACACCTTCTCTTCCATGATAGACAAATTCTAGATTCAGAGCATGAATTATTCTAACAAATCTCCAAACAATCTGTCTAGCCTATCGACTGGACTATGATTAAATCCAAATAAGTGCTTATTTACTCATTACTACATTATATTGCACCTTTCTTTTAAAGTGTTGAAGGTGCACAATGATTTTTTTCTTTTTTATTCTCATAATTATTCTATGAGATTGGTAAAGATGAACAATTGCAACTATTCTATGGCTTTTACTGTTAAGGTTCAAATATATACAGAACATAAGGATCCTTTAGTTCTCTAGATGTTGCTGAACTTAGCTTTCTCCTGTAACCTGCTCCTAAAGCCATCCCTGTGATTTACCTGGGTTTGACTAAACACATTTCTCTTTATTAACAGTGGCTGGGTTCACACATGCTGTGCCAAACCAACCCAAATATAGAATGACTTAATATGTGGATGTATCACACCCAGCAACATTGTGAGAAGAGGGATTTCTCTTCCTTAAAAGAGAATGATTCGTCGTCTGTTAAAAATAGCTTGTATAAAAATGAAACTAACAAAATAAAACTGGCCAAAAATATTACACTTGATCACTAATTTAAATTTATTTTTATCTACCTGATTGTTAGATCCAACCCTAGTCATCTAAGCACTGCAGCTCTGAATCACTAATTTAAATTTATTTTTATCTACCTGATTGTTAGATCCAACCCTAGTCATCTAAGCACTGCAGCTCTGAATCACTAATTTAAATTTATTTTTATCTACCTGATTGTTAGATCCAACCCTAGTCATCTAAGCACTGCAGCTCTGATAATTATGCCCGGGTTGCTTTACTAATCACTCACTCCAGTTTATTCAGAACTGCCAAGAACAAGTTGTAAAGGAAAAACAAAACCTATTTCAAGAAACATTTTTTAAGGTTTGTTCATCTTTTTTCTACATGAGAAGCAATTCTCAAATTGTGACCAGCATCAAATTATCAGCTGTTTCTATCTGTTTTGAGACACCTGGATTCTATCCTGCTTCAGCAAACGTTAGTGTCACCTGGAAGATTCAGCTATTACCTTCAATCCAGTTGCTGCCATAGCTAGAACTAACTCACTCCACAAACTTGTTCTGACCTGATATCACATGAGTAACCCCCTTCTATCTTCTTGACACTGTATACCTTAACAGCTGCAAACATAATTCCAGGAAATACAGAGTCTACCAATTAGAACCAGTGGAATGGAGCAGGAATTCCAAAAATGAGCAAATGAAATAATTGGAAAATAAGAGCCAGTGGCTAATCAGAAGTTGAAATAAGTCTTAACATTCTGCCTCTGGGAAATGAACTGACTTTAACAACATATTCTTATATGTGTGTATTCAGAATTCTGTCTGATTTAGTTCAATGCGACTTACTACAAGAAAAAATAACTGGCTTCCTACGTCATACTAAACTATGATTTCTTCCAGTCATGCCTTGTTGAATACGCCACAAATTCTCTACATAATCAAAAATTGTAGAAAAGTGGACTCTACAGTGCACTTCAAAAGTGATGATGAATGAAGATAGGAGCGAGACTTGTAGGCATGATCCTGTTGCATAGGAGGGATATAAAATGTATTAAAAATAATATCATATGCCAGATAGGTGGGGAACATCTGTGGTCCTCCAGATATTCCTGAACTACATTTCCTAGAATCTGTCACTATTGATCATGGGGACTAAGCTTTTGGGAGTTATAGTTCAGCAACATTTGGAGGACTAAAGGATCTTTATGTTCTATGTCAGTGTTGTCCAAACTTGGCCACTTTAAGATGACTGGGGAATTCTGGGAGTTGAAGTCC